TATGATTTAACAAAACATAAATTAATGAAATAAAAACACAAAAATAGTTGTAAGGAATTCAGAGACTTGTTGTTGTTTGATACAATCGACGTGATCACAATCGATCATTTGATGCATTTGACAGGAAAAAATAGGAAACAGTCAATATGTCCGGACTGAATTTACTCCTTTTTTTCATCAATTTAAAAAATCATCTTTATTATTTCTTTATCACATCAATTTTCGTAAAATTTTGCTTAGTTGTAGTGTTATAAAATGTAACAACCTTGAAATGTGTGACATTTTGACTTATTATGCCCATCTTTTTTTTAAAAAACGAGGAAAATATTTCAATATTATTTTAAAAACAATTTTGTACAACTGTAGATTTTAAACTAGGTGGAAGTAGAGTTTCTTTTCAATGAAACTGCTTAAAAATACTTTCTGACAAAGGATAATCATAATATTTTTAGAATATTCTACTTAGTTCAACAACTTTTTGCTTAGTTTTTGATGTTACAGAAAACTATCATTATATTAATTGATATAGTAGTCAATAATTATGTCAATACATAAGAAAATAGCATAGATATTACAATAGATGTCAAAACCATTGAACAGAAAACTGTTTTCGACTCACAATAGCTAATTATTTCTTTTTTATATTTTACTATATTCAAAGATTAAAAGATAAATGGCTTTGATAATTTATTATTCGCGCGTAAAGCTGAGAATTCAAAATAAAAATTATAGACTTAATATTCATCTAGTATTGTTTGTTTAAATCTTCCAGCTGATGTTTGGGACTGCAATATAGAGGCAATCCTCACAGGATACACATTCGCCAATAAGAGACTGATCAATTGCAGCCCTAAACATCAATGAGAAGCTTAAAACAAGCGATACCAAATGAATTTAAACTTCACTACATTGCACAAACTAGTGGCTATCACGAATCAGTAGTTAAGTGGATAACGTGGCGGTGTTTGAAGCGAACGGTACCGGGTTTGAGTCCCGGAGTGAACATCAACTCTGGGATGCAGGTGCGTGGGGCTGAAGAGTCCCAAATAGGACTAAACGTGCGTCTCGGATCCCATTGCTGGTTATCAACCATCTATGCTTATAATGTTAGTTTTCATCTGTTATCGGATTTGGTGTATTATTTCAACTTTTAAATACGTAAATAAGTGGATAAACTCTTTCCTGATGTGAGATTTGCTGACAATTTTGCATACTGAGTAAATATCTGAATGAAGATTAAGAGGTTTAACCGATAATAATTTTCCAAATAGTTACTCATTGTTCCCTTGCTTTTTTGATGAATTACCATATTATACAACTCTCTGGTGAAAACTTCCTTGTCCTCAAGTTCATATTCTTCAAAATTAGTATATTTTTTATCTTAACAGTTGAATTCGTCAGGCGATCTAAGCTAGACTACTATTGAAAACCTGGAAACACTGAACGACCATTTCGTCCTAGCACGGGATTCATGAGCAGGACCTTCGGTCTCACACGTGAACGTTTAACCTCTAAACCACTGAGCCGGCATCCAACGAAGTTAATGTCTAACTTCAACCGATTCATGATCTTGCACAACCTTTCAGGCATCGTCTGAGGTGGATAACTGTCTCACATTCGACACGGATTGGACTCCACCAGTCACGGCTTCTCACTAGAACTCCAGGAAATATCTCTTGAAGCTAGTCACTAGTGAGCACATGATTATCATCAGTAAGGGAATTTGAGGAGATTGCAGTAATTTTCACAGTTGAATCCATGAGTCTATCTAAGCTATTTTTTTATCATTTAGACGTACTGTCGTTAAATTTCGTATGTATATATTATTGTTTATAGTAAAATAAAAATCTTAACTGAGACGATACACTGATAAAACCTATTTTATGATGATAATACAGTACACATATTATTATAAACAAAACCTTAGTTATTGTTTATATGTTATTTACATATAATCAATGTGTTTCATGATTTCTTTATCACTATGCTTAGGACATCAGAAGTTTAATTTGTAAATCTAAATATTTCATTACTATTTTATTCAAACACTTTGTACCACAGATAACTGTGGTTTATATATTGAAAAGTATAATGTAAATTAAATGTGTATTTTAGAGCATATCGTTATGATATTTTAAATCTCTATTAGTATGTTATATTATGATTACAATAATCAATACTAACAGTGATAATAATAACCACACTAATATTATACCCTGAACCAACGTAGTCTGATGAGCAGTTAAACACTAGGTAGTCTTTGGCATTTGTGTATAACGTTAGATATGAAATCCAAGTACCATTATGAGAATTTTGATATATCTGATCACAAGATTTCAACTTTATAGACCCAGTTTATGCAATGGGTTTTCTTCACAAAATTTTTCGCCAATCTTTTTAAATAAGTTTATAATAAAATTGGTGTTGAAGAATTAGACAAACTATTCAGGTACTTACTTCTGTTTATTTAATGACTTTCTCATTGATTAGTGTTATTTTGAATAGGTACATTGAAAAGAGGATTATTTGCTTTCATAACAAATTTTATTGCCTATAGAAAAGAATGAAATTATCATATTACGTATCAGTTATCTTTCAATCATTATGATTATAACTAGTATTGTTACTAATTAGTGTTTCCGCTATTATAAGAATATTGATCTTTTGTATATAATTAAAAATTCAGTCAGTTTTTGAGATAATAAGTATTTTTGCATTTGCAATTGCAAAGTATAAGGTATTATCATGTCTAAAAACGAGGTGTTACATTATTCACCTTCAAAATTTCCCTTTTAAGATCCTATCGCATGAATGACGCCACGTGTGTGCACTTCATAAACAAGATGTTTTCTTAAAATCGTCACCAAAAAGTTTGAAAAGTTTGAAAATAAAATTTTACCGATAATATCGGTTCCTTAATCTTGTGTTTAATTTTAATTTCCACTTATTTACAAAAATTGGCTGGTTTTAAGTATGAACATATCATTTCCATGGTTATTTAATTGGTCCACTCAGTCTTCCTCATTGTCCGAACATTTCATATACTCATATTAATTGTTGCTCTGGTTGCTAGAAGTTGCATCGGTTTCGTGACTTCGTAAGAATATCGGCTTTCACCGTAAGGTATCATGATTATTTTGAATAAAGATCCTTGAACTCCCAGGGAGAAGTTTAAGTGGTTTAAATTCTTTGTTGTGGTTAGCGTATCTTTAGTGTTGTTGTATTCTACGTGATGGGGTTGCTGGCCACATCTCCAACTCACCTCCTTTACCCGGTCCATCCATATTTAATTAGACGAGTAATCTATCTGATATACTAAGGTTCTTTTTATGATTGTATTTTTTTATCCAAATAATTAGAGTCCCATTAAAACAGGCCGTCGCATATTTTATCCAGTAATCTTTTTTTTATAAGCTTCGGTCTAGTCAGAGTCAGTTACTACCCCATTTGCCAAGTTCTTATATGACAGAAAACTGTAAGATATCAGGAAAATACTCATTATTTAGTTTAGGTGTCTACACAAATCTCCAGTAACAAAAGTACAGTTTTATCTTTAATTTTAAACATGTTTCACATAACAATTAGTGCAGATGGTTCTAAGCAATATAGTTATTCTATATTGTTGTTCATTCATTTTCGATTGTTCATTATGCACGGTATCCATCATTTTCGGGTATTTTACCTTTCATTTAGTAGGTGAATACTGCATATAAGAGTAATTTTTCTAAAGATTTCATTTTCATCATATTAAGTTAACGAAATCTAGCTGGCGTGAACATATAAGTATGGTGTATCCCAACATGCCGCCTTATACAAGATATAAATATTGAAAATGTTATGGCTTAAAATGAAATCTTAAGTAAAACTTACGCTCCCATGTCCAGCACTCAACCAATAAATAGAAAAATATGTCCAAAAGTACATTATGCTGCACTTATTTAGCTTTGAAAAACGGATGGATAATCTCATACGGCAAAGATGATTCAGTGACTTTTCGTAATGAAAAACTCGAATAAATGCTTAACCAATACAACGAAAAGATGAAATTTGGAAGTATGTGATAGGATGTAATACATTTTAAACAAAAATATTTAGCCATTTGTGTCAAACATAAAAAGATCAAACTAAAAATATTGAAACGTAGCAACAACACTGATAATAACATAAACCCTTATATGGCTTCACTTCAGTCTATTGCAAAGACAAAGCCTTTACAGGAGGGATGTGATAGTCTGGGCTATTGTAGACAGATCACATTCTGTCTCAAGGCTACATAATAGGTGAGAGATTCAAAAATGAACATGTCAATGTAAGAGAATTGTTCATCCTACCTTGATCACAGCTTACATATCTCTGTCTGGGTCAGGGAAGATACGTGTCTGTAACGCATGAGTTATGAACACTGATTCAATTTTGGGTGTAAAGCTTTCTGTACATTCTTAGTCTTGTACTATCACATAGCTAGTTGTGTCAAGCGTTTGAAAAAGTTTAATGTGGCTGAATTGAACCGACTGATCATAAACGTATGGAGATAGATATGAGAAAAATTAGCGTTATAATCTCTCAGTCAAATTCAATTACAATACACACTTCTTAGCGTTCGACTCAACAAGCTATAAGATTAGACGATTAAGAATCTGCAGGAATCTTTCATGCTAAAATAAACCCAGAGTGTTTATAGCTCATGGGTATATATAAACAACTTTGCTATTAAATATATGAACCAAATTACGAAATTCGTTGATGAAGTAGTCCTGATAATAATTACAATATTATTATCAAGCTTATTTTATGTGTAAATCATTCGCTAATATTTGTGACGTTCTTTTAAATTAACTATACTGTTAAAGACAATATTTATGTTACATTTGTCTTATTAAGTAATTGGATATACGATGATTATTGTTTATTACGTTATCTAGTATTTACACTATCATTGTAATTCTTATCACCATCATTATTATATTTCTTGCTACACGAATAATAATTGATTTTTTTAGAACTCGTGAAGGTATATCTACCAAACAGTGAGTTTATCATTTAATGAATGTGTATGTATATGCTGATACTCAATTCGAATTTATAAATGGTTTCATTGTAGAGTAGTAATTATTATTACTATGATATTCACTGTTAATAACTATTTGAAGATAATATTTAATGAGTAAATAGATGGAAATTTAGGAAATAAACATTATTTTAAAATATTATTATTGAAAATCCATGTACATCTATTGATAGTGCGATACAATTTCATTCATATGTAGATTCATGGATCTTATTTATAGATATTGTTTTCATACCTGACATTATTTGTCAGTTGGTAGATTGAATCCCCCAAAAAATATACTCTAAGGCAGATGATATTCACACATTATTTTCACCATATCTTAACTATGCCATATTGTAACAATTCATAATAACTTCAGTTGTTCATTAGTTTTTTGAAACGATTGTTCTTAATTTTCTCTCTGATCTTTAACTGAGGATGATTATAGAGTAATGTTGACAGATTTTACAAGTGATTAATACTTTGGGGAGTTTAATATACTTTCTTAGTTTATAAATAAATATATTACTCTTTGAAGAAAGCTTTTGGTTAAAAGATATTTAGAAAAACATGAATCAATCTCGTAATGAATCATTCATCAAATTTTATGTCATTAAAACAAGATGAAATTGTATCGTAATGTTCTTCCAGTTTTTTTTTTTAAATTGTACTTTATTAGTTCGAAATAATCATTAAAAGTAGACGAAATAGATATGACTGTTGTGTAGGGATAGTTTAAAACACATAACTATTGTTCCTACTTTGATTGCACCTATGTACAATCAATCGATTCACTTAATAGTGTTTAGACAAAACAAACTTTTCCTTCACATATATATACGTACGAATGTCTTGTCATATGTAACAGTATTCACATAAGAATCTTTCTCTCCCCTTGATCCCTACCTCACCACCTCTTAGTAAAGATAAACCATTAAGTGATTTATGAAATAATAGTGAAGATTGGATAGGCAGATAAAAGATGTTGAGAAAATTCTAACCACAAAGCTTACTTATTATGAAACTGTATTTGTTATACTATAGTTTAAGTTATATTCACTAAACAGTGAAAACAAAATCTGACCGAACAAAGCTGAGAGACAAAGGTTTTATTGATTGTCATCAATTTTAATTTATGCATTTCGAAATATGTCCTGCTATAGAAGGGATTAGATTGCTTCATAAATAAATCCATTGAAGTTTTTTTACTTCCCTCTTTCTGCTTGCCTCTACGTTTATACAAACCATTCACGATGTATTGCATGTATGCATTCGTGTCAGTTTACCTATATATTTTTTAGTGTTATAAAACAATAGTATTGTATATATTTAAATATTCACTTTGTAATTATTAAGTTTATTTTCTATCTGAATAGATTTTTGCATAAATATCAAATAAGTACCTTGGTTTAGTATCTTAAATCAGCTTCTTCAAACAACAGCTTCGTTTACTACATATAGTTAATTAATATTACATTGATCTGATAGCTCTTTTTCAAAAATAAATTTTAACAGATGGTTTGAGAGAACAACAAAACTCACGCGACTATAAGCCGATTTTTTCAAATGGATACAACTATAAAGTGACTATTCACAGTGAAACGACCAAATAGCATACTGATATGTAGTCGATATTTATTAACTGAGTCAAAACGCCTTAAGTCTATGTTGTACCAAGTGAAACTAACCGATAAATGGTTTCATGAAAATCGAAAGTATAGTAACTAATAACTATAATGAGCTACGCGCATTTGTTGAAATTTGATATTGGACAAAGGACCTAATTTGACACAACTTTATAGTGTTGAAGGTAATTTCGGATAAATGTTCCCAAATTTATTCTCCATGTGTGGTGGAGTACTAGTGACACATAGAATACAATTTTGCACAAAATGTTAAGTGGTTTCATGTTTTATCGGCTAGTTGTTAGATGATTAAATATGAACAACAGACTAATCTAAAATACAGTGTATTATTGGTGAGAGTCTATTTTGCCTGAATTGTTTCAGTAAATATAAGTGAAACGTCTTACAATTAATGAGGAATGTTTAAAGATCAGTAAGAATTTCGATGAATTTTATTTACAAAACTGCTTTTTGAGATATTTACACGTTTACCAGTAGATCAGGGCAATTAGTAAAAACTGACTTTAATATCGAAAGTCTGGTTGATAAACCGTGACCTGCTGCTACCAAGAATGGCCAAATCGTTTAAATCCTGATATGTATTTGGTGCTACATTTTTCGAATCAACATGTTTGGTCTTTATTCATCTCGTCGTTACTTTCAGTAATACCTTTCTGAATATTAGTCATGATTCTATACGTCATTAATTTACCTAAGTTATTGAATGGTGATTTCAGTCTAGATTAGTGAGTTCAATTATTTCAGTGGACGATATAGACTTCCTATTCTAAACAAACAGAACAATTGTTTCGTTCCTAAAACTTAGGGTTTACATCATGAATTGATTTTCGTTTGGCACCCATCGAAAAGTAGGAAGCGCTGGAGGTCCGCCTAATTCTAGTATGGACCCTCTATTTCATCTCGACACTTGGAAATATCAAACAACATATTATAATAGTTAAATAATAAACATAAAATATAACATTATTTCATCTTTTTATTATTGTTTAATTCTATTTTATTCATCGATTAATTTTGTTCTATTTAGATTTATTTTATAAAAAGATTTGACTAATGATTCACATTTGTTCCTTAATTTCTGTTTTATCGAGCCTATTCTCTATTGATTTGTTACTTCTTTACCGTTACTATTATTATTATTATTATTATATGTCCTAATTCCTATTTGCCTGTAAGTTTCTACCAACTTTTTTTCATCATATCCTACAAGATGACATTTTTTGTTTTTTCAAATTTAACTCAAGGCTAAATTATAAAGGAACCTTTTCGTTTGTTATTTCGATAATCTAATCGACAAATGAATCACATTGCGAAATTTCAAATTGTTATATCGGTAAATATTTATTTATTGAACTGAAATTTTTTTTCTGAATATGTAGAAATTTGTAGATCGATTTCATCATGAACTAATATCAATTGGAAATCAAAAAATGAACACCTAAATTTTGAATCTACATCGATTCGCGAATCTCCTAGATTTCACGGTTACTATGATCCTTTTAAACTACTAAGTAAGAACCTACTGATTAAGATCTCTAGTCAATTTTCGACAACTCGTGACGATTAATTACGTCATCCATCAATAACTTTCGAATTCATAAATTTCTTGAATTGTTAAAGTAGGTGTTGAGTAGATCTAAATTAACATTTTACAGTTGCTTAGTTATCTTTTAATGGATCTACACTTAATCTTAATTAGGGATTGAGGTAATTTTAGAATATTCTAGACAAGTAAAACGATTACAAAACATTTTAATGATGTTTTAGATGATAACAATACTCCGGAACACCTAGACTTTGATGCAGTGACCCAGAGCAGTTCAGTTTATTGATCTTTGACCAAATAAATCAACAATACTTATTTTTCATCTTATTGACAGTCTTAAAGAAGCCTATCAAAATTTATGACGATTTGATTAAGATGTAATCAATGGTACCGGATTTATTTACCTTTCTTGAATCTCAATCAGTTATTATTATTTTATAACACTCCTATGGATGAAATTCATATTGCTGTTATTAGAGAGAATTCAGTTCATCTTAAATGAGTTGCCACTAAAATAGCCTATTTGTTCTTTAGATAAATCATAAACCTATGATAATAATCTGTGCTTACATCATGGATTGATTATCTCGTTAAGTATAGGTCTAATTTATTCAATCGTTGTGAAATTGATTATGTACATGAAATTTTTCAAATATATCGATATCATTTGATTTTTCATACGTCAACTTCAATTGTCCTAAGAGTTTGTAAACTCTTGTTGAAACTGTATATATGTGGAATTTTTATTTTTGTTATAGTTCAGAACTTATTCCTTATTTATTAACATAAGTTCATTTATAATGAATCCAGTTTATTGCTATATTGAACAATAATTTTACATCGTTTTTTATCGAAAATAATTTTCTGTCTTCGCTTTTTGTAAATGTTTTTTCGTGATATGTGGTCTTGTACATTTTTTCTTGTTAAATTTTCAATTGATCTAAACTCGTTTGCATAGTTTTTTTTTATTGTTGCTAGGTCGAATTCGCTAAAGTGTGAAGGAATAATGTAGTCTCATATCTTACAGGTGTATCCAATACATGATATTGTCTTAGAACCAAGAATCAGTCACGATAGAATGGTCACATTTTCTGATTTCGCATCAGGTCACTATTTTTCATATACAGTAAAAGGTGGTCTGAGTCAAATATAATTCGTTTATCTTTGGGATTACAAGCAAGACTCCTCGCGTATTTATTATTTAAAACTACGAACCAAACACATAAAGAGTATAAGCTTAGAAAATGGACTACTGAATTTTGTTTGGCTACCAAATTTTTTTTTAAAAAGAACACTGTGATCGGAAACCATGAATATAAAAAATTACCAAGATCTCAGAATTGTCTTATTATTGACTTCGATGCTTTTAAGCTATGACTAAACTACTGATATAATCGTGAACAAAAATACAATTAAAAACAATTTAAATGACGTACATGATAGCTAAAAATATCTTTTTACTTTTGTTGAACACACGAAATACAAGTATAGAAGAACTTGAATCTGCTTTTTAGCTAATTTGTTTTTCGCATACGCACATCATTTTTCATACAACTTGTAATGATACTAATCAGTTTAAATCTTCCTTACATTAATATGTTGAGGGTTATTTCATTACTTAAAGTTAAATAAATGATATACAATAGTAATAACTAACAAACTGTAACGTACAAATTAATGTTAAAACTGTAACAGAGTTAAAAATCTGTCTTAAATGTCAATCACGGTCTTCCAAAGTTGGGATGTAATATGGTCCATAAGTTAATTTATTTGACATTCTTGTAGAACTGAATACCTGAAGTCTACTAACTGAATACTTAAAAAAATGGATTCGTTTTTCCTTAAGTTGGTCGGTAAATGTTCATCTGGAATCATACACAAACTCATCATTTCTCAGAAATCCCCACTTATGTCATCAAGCCTTCAAATTACAATAGGGATATTTTATTCTTTTGATTTAATATTATTTACTATTAGTGGTGAGGATTTGTTATTCATCTTAATTTTAAAAAAGTTATTTCTTATACTTGTTTCCATAGTTATTCGATTAGTATTTTTAACATATTATTGATGTTTTATTATGTAGATAAAGGTTCATAAACTGGTCACTAATTCACATTGTTGATATACAAGAATATTTTACTCCTTATGATCTAATTATTTCTTCTTCATATCTCCTATTCTTATTGCTGTTGCTTATCCTAGAAACCATGACAAACCAGCATGTGATAGACCTGGAAATAAATGTCAAGATGATTCATTCTTTGTTTATTGTTCTTTCCGTCATTATTACTATTATTTCTCTTATTGTATTAAATAACTATCTAGAAATGTTTCAAATGTCATGTTATATTCACTTTTCATCTGTCCACCCTTTAGAAAAAAACTAATTTTTTCTTATGTTTACGTATTACTATTTTATGTTTCTTACTTAAGCTGTTTTGAACAGAGTTATATACTGACCAATAATAAATCACCACTGAAAACCTACGAGAAGTGGACGGGCGTTTCGTTCTAGAATGAGACTCCTCAATAATGCGAATGAATCCCGCACGCGAAACTCAAATGCAAGACCCTCGATCTCGCACAAACGCTTAAACTCTAGACCATTGAGTTGGGATCCAACAGTGGTAATATCTAACTTCAACCAATCCACGATATTACGCAAACACATCCCATTGATGAAACGGCCGTCCAGTGCTTCCAGCTTTTCAGTGGTGGCCTAACAATGGTCGTTTCATGACCTCAATTAAAACTTAACAATCTCCACAATCCTATACTGAGAACTATACAAACTTACAGTGAATTCTCATTGTTACGTGTTGTCTAAACTATTACCGTATAATTGTTATGAAATTTTTGACAGTTTCAGTTGTGTTATATATATACTGACGGTTGCTATTATATACATGTATGCTTTCCAATAAATGAATGGAAGATTGTTGCGCAACAATAATAATAACCTTAAGTAAGCTTTTGTAACAGATGGGAATTACTCGAAAAGCTATCTAAAACCAAATATTCTTCAAAAATTTACTAATAATTGGCGTTGAGATCAAATTCTTAAATTCTGGTGATAAGTTTTGCTTAATGAAGTTCAACCATGTCTAGCAGAAAGCGGTTATCCATAAGTGTTGTCAGATGATTTACTTGATCAAACCTGGAATCTTCTTACTCAGCGAATCAAATAAATAGTTTTCGCGAAATATTAGGATTCTGGGTTCAATTTTGTGCACAGTTTTGTGTGCTCATTAATAACGAGTCCTAAGAGCAAACCAAAACAATTACTTAATCCTTATTTCCTTTATGTTGTCCTCCAGCTTAGGTCATATGTGATGAAAATCTTCAGGAATTAGTCAACCATCTAAATTCTAAGAATCTGTAAAATATTTCACACTCATCAAATTACTACTTTTATGGCTTCTTATTATTGCTATCATCAACATTATTTAAATTGTCTACTATGGTTACATGTTTTATTCAAAATTGTATTGTGTCTTCACAACGTTTGTATGTCTGAGACACATTTTATGACGTGAAACAATAAAACACATCAAGTAGTTAAACATAAACAATACTATCGATTAGAATTTCAACTGATTTATCAACTATAATTTATTATAGACATTTTAATAAAATAAACTTTAGATGATCTATGATATTTTTTGAATTGTCTAGTCTTGAAACTTCAATATTGATAAGTTACAGATCAACTATTCATGTCAATAAAAGTCAGTGTTAGAATCGTAATCAAATAATTTCTCTAACAAATCGAAATACTGTTTATACCACCACCAATTAAGGATATTTGCTACATCTTCAAATAAATGATAGAATTTCATAGAGGGAAATAGTTGAAAAAGGTTTTAGTCAAGATAAAAAAAGAGCTATAAACCTTTTTTTATATACCATGGAGATAGAAACTATTGGTTAGAAAATTTTACGGTAATTCCCGCGCTAAATCTACGTTCGAAAATTGATTTTATTTATTTTTAATAGTTTACTTATCTTTCAAAATGCTATTCACCTTAGTAATTGTTTGTCAGTGTGTTCCGCTCGGTATAATTTCTGAATATGTTTCTGTATTAATGATGAAATGATAAGCTGGAAAATAGATTTTCATGTTTAACACATATTCCACTCTCGTTGTGTGCATATTATAGACATGAAAAGAAAGTGGCTATTACGAAAGATATTTTCGTCAGTTGAGATCTTCAGTTTTAACTTCCGTCCACTTTCTATTCTAGTTTGAGTCACGCTAAGATGCATATGTTTCCGTAACAAGTACTCTCTCTTCAGTTTATTAATGTTGTATTGCGTAATATACGCTGTTCAGCTTTTGCAAAACCTCTCGAGAAGATAGTTTTATGATGGCTCTCATAATGTAAATAGGAAGCGTTAATCATCATGACTATTACTGTAGTCAAATATCTTGTTAATGCCCGTTCACGACTTCGAAGTTCTACATATATATATATATATATATATATATATATATATATATATATATATATATATATATGGCTTATGCAATGTAACTTCCTCCTGCTAACTAGCTAAGCATACAGACGACTATTTTGACTTTAGAATCCTGAACATTTATATTTTAATTGATTTCAAAAACTCAAACGGAAAAAACGTAAACTTTTATTTATTAGGCATTATTTAAAAGTCAGTTTATGTCATAATCTTTTTTTAAAGAATCTATCGAGTACTGTTTGAACTGGATTTAATGTCGTTTAGATTATAATTAAAGTTCTATAATTTGTAGGCATTTTGTTAAAGAAAGTTATGAACAACTCTTAACCATAAGTTTTAATGAAAGTCGGAACAAAATTGAAATTAACCAAAATTTATAGTGACGCAAGGACAAAACACAAATAATATTAAGTTAAATTGCATGTTGCTAAGCTGTCCGGCCAGAGTTTGAATTACAATCATCTCTTAATGATTCGATAGGAGGCAGGATACCTAAATCCATATAAATATGATCAAAATTATGAGAACTCATGAACTGTTTAAATGTTCACTCAGAGGTGGAGCATAACAAAGTGTATTTCGTAAATTTCGGTTTCCGGGGAAAAAGTTTTCTGTAACTCAAGGTTGAATATTTATTTTGATCTCATGTAGATAAAGGATCTACCATGCTAAACTACTATGGCATTATCAAAAAAGGCTTTTATTTTAATTCTTTGGAACTGGAGTTTATCATTAGTAGTTGAACTAATTTGATAGATTTCTGAATTGTGAACGTTTGATATGATATTATGTAAGTCAAAAGGTTGTTGTTAAAATGTACTGTTCTGTGTCAAAAAGGAATTCTGTCTTACAATAATCATTCAATTGTTTTTCTATACAAAGCCAAAGTAGATTTTTTATTAATGTAAGATGGGAAGATGTCATAGTCTGTGGACAAAAGCTAACTTTTGGCTTTACAAATAAATAGCATTTGGGTTCATTGAGCTAATAGGTCATCGTTATAGCATTAGACTTTTTCAAAAGCTAAATTACTGATTATTAAAACTGAGATTCATAGGTGACTTTATGTAACCTTGTAAATGTGTGTTGTAAGATAAAATGAATGTTTAATAATCCTTAATATAAATTTATAATGAAACACTTGACAGATATCTTTATTGACAATCAATATTATTTAATTCTAACCATACTACATATGAATGGACATTACCATTCGAAGTGACTTTACTTGTTACAAATGTTAATTCAGTGTATTATGAATATACACTCAATAAATTTTTAACAGTAATATTTCTACGTTAATATATATCCGTTTTTAATACCAGTTGTATTATGAAATTCTTTTTTTTCACAAAATATAGGCATAGAATTTTTCGTCGACGTAGTGTTAGTCGGCTAAGCTGTACAAACGGTATAATGCAACGTAGTATTACATCAACTAATGCAATCAATGGAAGTTGTTTATCGTTGATAAGTTCATCAGAATCTCAAACCAAATCATCTACGGATAATAATAGTAATAAGCATGTAAAAATGAATGGAAATGTATTTAATATGAATGAAAACAAAAATACTGTCGTAGCATCTATTACTAAAACTGATGTCATTCGCGATGCTGAATCATTGAATCTAACCATTAAGGATATCGATTTAACACTGAATAATCCAATTGGATTGACACCGAGACGCGAGAAACGTCGAATTCTAACAGTTACCGGTGATTTAATGAATTCTAATCGTCTAACACGTGTATTTACACGTGGTCATAAGACATCAGTAGATGTTACTGAACAGTCAAATAAATTACTACCAAATACACAAGTATCCAAACAATTGTCAGTAATGGGATTGAATATTGATAATAATGGCATTAATGTTAACAGCTCCAATGATAATTCAGATTGGTCATCTGATGTTGAAGATAAGTCAAGTACTTTAGTTAGAAAAACAACTGAGAAAAGTTCAGACAATTCTTCTACATTAAAACAATTAAATTCATTAGATTGTAGAAAAACTACTCCACCTAGACAAGTTGTTCAGGTTAGTTTTTTATTATTCAAGATTATTATATTATTGTTGTTAACATATTTTTGTCGTTATTTCTTTATATCAACATTTTGGCCTTACGTATCATATTTACATTAAGTATAAATGTTTGTAGACTGAAATTTGAGTTAACGAATTCCATAAAATAAATACTTCCTTCTGAAGTAAAATTCAACTTAAAATCCTTGAGATATCATCAAATAGATGTTAGTATCCAATCCTTAGAATGAAATATATTGTTGTACATTTCTATATTTTTATTTAATTCATGATATTGATATAATCTGAATAATGTGTATCCAATTCTTATCGGTCTAATCTATTTGTGGACAGTCGTCGTCATTGTCTGTGAGTATGTATGAGAAGTTTCAAACCAGAGTGCACCAATCACCTCATTGTTTTCTCAGTATTTTTTGTATACAAACATTGTTAGTTCTAATAAAAATTTTGGTTCTATCTTATCAAGTTTTCTAGCATCACATGAACTTCAATTCTTTAGAATAAAACTTTGACTATTTTCAAAATATGTGGGTATTTTTATCCATAAAACCACTCCCTAGAAGTTCTCTCTTTTACTCTTGTACATTTGTTTTATTTACTGTTTATTGTGATTCTATATGCAAAAGATGAAAGAAACAAACAGTGCTCCTAATAGGGAACGTTTGATTAGAAAGAAACCTATCAAATAAAAGTCTTCAGTTTTTCTAGAGTTCTGAAACACTATCCACTATACATACACTATACGTACCAAAAACGTTTGTTCGAATTCTTTTCTTATCCTGGTTTGTATTTCTCGGTTTATAACTTCTCTTACTCTCTTATCTTTCTGTTAACTTCATATTTCCAGTAAACTCATGTTTACTTGTCTACTATTTTTGTATTTCAGTTAAAGAACATCATGGAATCTACTTATTAACATTTGCCTTGTTTCTCTATCGTTTCTTAACAGTGATTCTGCATTTACTTCATATTAGGAAAAATATTTTCATAATTTAGTACCATATACATTGTTACGTTACTGCATAATTTTTCTAATAACATCAATAAAGGTGCTGCTTGTCCGATTGACTTCAGTTGTTTCCAATTAATTTGTACTCATCTAACTTTAAAATACCGGCTTCGATGATTATTCATAAATCACCAAGCCTTCTGGGTAGATAATATATGTATTAATATATTCGAACTGGGTTGATTTCAGTCAAGACAAGCAAATGTATTCGTAATACTTTCTTCCTTTGATTTTATTTTAACAAATAATCTTGAAAACTGTAGTATGTTAACGCAGTGCAACTTGTTACCAGTTCTTCAAGTTCGTTATATTGCCTAATGTTCTGAACTTGTCAAAATTTTCTGAAAATAACTAACCCATTTTATTAAATTTCAATGAATAGGGAGTATCGCTTTTAACTATTTATGAGTAATAAAAAAAAGATCTTTGTTATTTTCTCTGAGATAAAAAAATATAAAAAAATAAAACTTTGTCACATAATTGTATTCGTCCATTTATAAATTTATTGGTGTAATGGGGAATTCAACTCTGTTTATGACTAGTGAGAAGTGTAAACATGAGAGTGCTTATTTTGAGTGAGTGGATAAATCGTCTAACTAAGGTTACCCTTCACAAATCTCTGTCTGAACTAATTTAGTAAAACATATATGCGCATGATTTATGAGTGTATTCAACCGATGATGAACATTAAAGTTTCCAACACACTCTTAGTCTTATTACTTTGGATAGATGATTGAATAAATGTTAGAAAATGTGTAGTTTGATTAAATTGAATTGAAGGTCAAGTTAAAATGAGATATTTACCACTTATGGCATTGTATAATCATAGTGCTGTATTGTAAATTGGATGAGCTTCAAAATGTTAACCATCTGATTCCATTTTAGTTGTATTAAAACAATGTTTTTTCACGACACTTAAAAGTGTTGATCTTAACCCAGTATGGTTGGTTATAAGCGCATTCCACAGAACGGATTCTGTATCGCTTGTTTGGCATTAGTTCTTCAATGGATATCAATTTGTTATACAAAGTGATTTAGTCTTAAAAAGAAAAGTTGGATAATTTATTTAGTACGAAAACACATGGATGTTATAGTTTTTTCTTAGGTTTTCTTCTAAAATATTATTTTATTTAATTAGTTAGTTACCAATTGTTTTATAACAACAAGTTGAATTTGGCATAAGTTAATTAATTATTATTAAGTTTTTCCTGTTAATTTCACAGAATATTCAGCTGTTATTAATCAAAATTATATGCAGGTAAATAATGAATGTTTGTATAGTTTTCTTCAACTGAATTAGATTTTTATTTCACATTTTATTTACATTCATTATTACTGATAACAACTATCTTATTTAACTAAATAATAATCTAAAACAATTTTGTTAGTATTTTCATTATAAAACAAAATCATTTAGTAATACAATATATTTTCTTTTCTGATAAATTACTTAAACGCATACTTTACAAACTTTTATTGAAATAAATATCAGAAATCTTTGCTTGGTGATATTTTTTACATAAACAAATAATCATTTCATTTTTGATAATGTAATAAGAAGATGAAGATTATCAGAACTATGCGATATATTAGCGTAATACATTTCGAAACAATCTGATCACACATATACTTGTTAACCATTTTGTTTTATATATAAATGCTCTTAACAAGTAAATGTAAGATCAGATTGTTTCGAAATGTATTACGCTAATATATCACATAGTTCTGATAATCTTTGTCTTCTTATTACATTATCGAAATTTATCAATGGGACTAATTTTTTTAAAATCATTTCATTATTTTAACACTACTGAAATAAATATGGTTTATATTACTATAAATGTTTAATCAAATAGAATATCTTTCAATGAAAAACAATTGATGGTTGCTACAGTTGCATACATGAAAGGTTTTAAAAAATGATTCAGATAATTACTCATGTATATATATATAGAATTTGTGCGATTGTCTTTTTCTTTTTCACATAGTTATTGTTGATGTTTAACTTATCATATTCTTTAATAATTACTCCTAAATGCGTATATTAGTCCAAAGTGAAACCCATTGCCTTTAATTTATATAATTGAGAAGTATCTCTAACTCTTAGATTGAACGCTAAAAAATAAACAAGTTTTCTATTACCTAATTTGTTTCGAGAAATATTGATAATACTTATGGATTATTACCACTTAGTTGCATGCCAATCCGTGAAAAGTTATAACTAAGTGAGCTTATCCTTATAATATTAAAATAAATAGATAGTAGTCGTGTGAATCAATCAGTAGAAGGTCTACTAGACTCTATACACCATTGACCTGTATCTAATGATGATTTTTGAAAGTTATGTACAATTTCCAACAAGGACCACCATGTTTTTGTTTGATCCAAGAGTTAATTTGCCGAAATTTGCATTCAGTAAATCTAGTTGTTGATATTTTTCTCTTATCACCTAAAAATTTTCGTTACTATGTATAAAATTCATCTTGTTGGATCAGTTTTGTCATTCCTTATCTTGTTACTTATCTAAACCCATGAACTATGACTCATAACCAACTTTTTCAGTAAAATTAACATGAGCATATTTTTGTATTATAATATTTGATCATCTATTTCTTTGAGTTAGCATTTCATTTTTACCCAGTCTTTTCATTTAATCATTAACAATGTAGGACAAGTCATAAATGTTTATTGTTTCAAGTTGCCATACTTCACATCATCATAATAAGAGACAACTAACAAAATTAAAAATTAACGAGTTCATATAATTATGAATTTGGTGGACTAACCAAAGAGAACGGATAATTTACATTTGACTCATCATTGGTTAGTAGCAGATCACACGTTTCATAAATATAACTCTCTCATGTCAATATTATAGAAATTCTTGTGCTAGATTGTTATTTCAATTTTCTAAAATGGTTCAAGAGAAAGTAGCTCTTCAAATATATGTTGAAATCGTTCTTTATTTATTTATTCATCATGAAAATTGCATATTTCATATTTATATTTCTTAATTCAATTTATGATTTGCATCAAAACATAGAACGAATATTTCGGAGCAGAAACTTTTTTATAGTTCTATTTCAAATGTTTTACGATTGTATTTCCCTGAAACACTATTATGACAACTTTACTTGTTAGTATAAAAGGCTTACAATTAATGAAGTTCATTAAATGAATTTAACACTAAAGGATTAAATAAAAGAATCATCAGCTTGAGAAGAGGACATAAGAAGTTTGATTGAATAAAGAATTGATATTACAAGTATATTAAACAAAAGTGATTAAATACAAGAAAAGATTCAAATTAAGGATGATGAGTTTATCAAAGTTATGAAATAAATAAAACTTGTGTACTTAAGTTAATAACATTAGAGTGTAATTAACTGATGAGGATATGATTTTATTCTATTCAAAAATAACGAAAGGATAAAACAATTATGTAAGATAAATGTGAAAGCATAACTTTTTACAGATTGGTTAATAAATAGTTTGCCTAGTTCTATAATCATCAGTTCCTCTAAAATTACAAATACACCTTGCTGACATTTTCCCCTTAGCATGTATAATCAGGTTTGTGTCTTTCTGTAGATTTTGAGCTCGGGTATCTAACGTTACAGTATAAGTTGGTTTTCTAGATTACTTAACTCAACTGGGGCCACTATGAAGGGAAATATTTCCATTGTATGAGGTCGTGCAGATGTTTTTCTGTCTGCACGACTTTTTATAGTGTGAATAACAAGCTTTCTAAATCATCCTATTACTTAGTATCTAGTACCTTATTCAATGTAAAACTTTATATCCATTTTCTTTGCCGTAAACAGGACTGACCTATTTTTGTCATAATCTGGCATTGAAATTAAAAATATTTAAACTCTCCGAACATACACTCACCAATCTACTATGGTTTTTATCAATATATGCATCGCGACTTTCGTAGTTTATGAAAACTGTCTTTAAAATTGGTGTGGGTTCATATCAATACAAATCTTTTATTTGATACACTGTTTATTGTTCTATTTCTCAATAACACTATATTTTTCAATATTAAATATTTATTTAGCCTCACGAAGCTCCACTTCTTGATCCTTTTGGTTCTGATTGTGGCAGGCCTCGTTTACGGATTCTTCTAGGACAAACAAATCGTTTAAATTGTCTAACTGGAACATCTTCAGCATCAACTACGAAAAGTAATCCCAATACCGTATTCAAAAATATCTCAGATCATAAAAATAATTTAGCTAGTCGTCAGTCTCTAGCAAAATCCTGTATAACATCTACATTTACCGCTACAAGTCTTGTATCAAAAGGAAGTACGAATTCTATTAATAGTATCTCTTCTTCGTATATAGTTCCAATTAGTAAAACAGATTTTTAAAATCTACCCATAATTATTTTCAATAAATCCTAAGAAACAGTATTTCTTTCATTGTATTTTTTCTCCCATGCGATTTATTCTTTTTTTTAGATATTTTTTGTGTTTCATTACATTATCAATAATGTTGATAGCTAAGTTACTGTATTGATTCTGTCATTTTAGCCTGAACTTTCATTTGTTCAATAGTAAATATTTTTATGTTAAGATGGTCTTAATTCTGGTTACCAAATTTTGTTAGTTTGTAATTGTACAGAATCAATATAGAAAAACTCAATGCATAATTCAGTCCAATCGTCCTACATTATGTACTTAAAAATCAATAGTTTATGTAAACGACAAGAGAATTCAGCAATTGTCATCGGATTATTATTGTTATTATATTCAGAATCATGTCTCCAAAATTATCCGAATATGTATATAATATGAAAAATAGTATATTTATAATATGTATCTACACTACTTACAATAAAATGGGCTTTATCATATTAACTTTTTATTCATAATCAACAATGGATTGTTTTAATCATCATTATATTTCAATTTAATTATTAAATTCTGAATTTGTATAATATTGAACTCACTTGAATTATACTATGAAAATGTAAATGGATGATTTTTATTTCTATCTATAATTTAAATATAATTAAAATATCGGATTAATTGTTTGTATTTTAAATAGTTAATAATAAAACTTGTTTTTGTTGTTTTTACGCCTTTTTAAATTATTTGTTGAATAAAGTTGGATTTCTACCGTTTTCTTTTTCTTTCACTTTTTTTCCAAATGTGAATTAGGAGACACTGTCAAAAAGAAAACAAATACTTTTGTTCCTGTTACTAAGGTTTCTTTCTTACAAAGTTAAGTAAACATGATATAGATGATTGTATAACGAAAACAATATGAAGACGATATACCAATTAGAAGTAGAGACTAGTTTAATGGTTACTCTAGTATCAAGTACCTTGATTTATGGAATGTTTGACTTTGAAAATTGAGTTTTAGATGTCCAGCAGGTTGCTCGTTTGCTAAAATACAGTGGGATTTGTTTGAACTATGGTTAGATAGCTATCTTTCTAACATGTATATATCTAACAAAGAACTTTAACTGAAGAGTTATCTTGCTATAACTGTTGGGGAATTTGTCAATCCTTTTATCTGTAATCTATTTTACTGTGGAATATGTTTAGTAGATTAAATAATCGATGGTACTTCATGCATAATGTTGATAATGATGGTTATGTTAGGATTTAAACAGCTGTAACTTTGTTTTTAATCTTTTTGAGAAATATGAGTTTTATTACATTTGATATAGTAAATTAAAATAAATATGGTTATTCAAAGGAAATACCAGTGATTATTATCACAACATACGAAACGAGTAGGCTATGAGCGTCAGTTCCTCATCGCCTGATTGTGACGGGTGATATTGCTGCTAGGATGTTTTCATTCCAATCGGTAATCGTCCTTAATTTCCCATTTCTCAATTAAACATTCATATAAACAGTGTGGTAAACTAACAAATAATATTCAGAGAACTAGTCCGTAAAGCAATGTTCCGACATGGTTGCTTAAAGAAGGGGTCTAGAAGTTGGGGGAAATTTTAACAACCTTGTTTCATTCAGAGTTTAACATTAAGCAACATTCTTGAAGAACTCACGTTTTGTCTGTTTGTTGATTGATTTGTTATTATCCTGTCTTTTGAAAATGTAGAGTACTTTGTAATATGGAGTATGCTCTGCAGATTATCTGGTTACATGAAATACGCTACTTTGTAAATACTTGTATTTGACTACAAAGTTCAGACAATCTGAAGGGAGATGAGTCAAAAAAGTTTGAGTGACTAAGTACTGTGAAACCACAAACTGATACGTCTTTGAGGTCACACCATGCTAGTAAATTACGAAACATTTTATGGAAGTTTCCAAAGTTTCCCATAACTCTTTAGTTTACAATTTTGTAAGGGGTGTTTATAACAGGTAGTTATCTTAAGTTTCCTAATCATGAAAGAAAGAGTAACAGCTTGCTTAAACTGAATTTTAATCGTGAGCATTTGATGCTTAAGAATGATATCTTTTTAAAACTATTGGGACATCGCAGTGGTTTCGACCGGTTTTCCATTATTTCAGTCCCTAAATTTATTAGCATTTTTGAATTCACATTTTCGTTAATGCTGCCCATAAACGTAAACGTCTCCACCTCTTCTACAGGTTTCCCATCAAGTATAGTTGCGTTGGTATTAGCTGTGTCGCATTTAAGAATCTTACTTTCTCCCTTGTGTATGTTGAGGTCTCTTGCTATAGAGGCTGCTACTACACTAACTATCTTCACCTGGATTTGTTGTTGTGTATGGGACAGAATAACTAGGCTATCTGTGAAGTCCAAATTGTTTGGTTGCATCCTAGCTGTTCACTATATTCCATGCCTTACCCTGAGAAACGGACATCTTCCTAATACAGTCGACCACGAGAAGAAATAAAAATGGAGAGAGTAAGCAGTCTTGTCTGATAGCGGTTTTCATTTGGAATGCATGACCTTGCACTGTAGTCAGTCGTACAAATTCCGAATGACGTCGAAGATCTTCCCTGGTACACCATAATATTGACGAAGGTTCCATAATGTTCTCCCTTCCACATGATCATACGTTTTCTCATAACCAAGACAGTTTTTGTATAGTGATGAGTTCCGTTCAACCGACTGTTAAACAATGTTCCGTAGTGTCGCGATTTAGTCCATGTATGGCCGATGCTTACGGATCGCTTGATCCTATTGATATCGATGTTTGACGTCTAATGGACTTGTTGTTCCGTACGCCATCATTCTGTTGAAAACATTTACTGTTACTGACAATAGTGTGATACTTCTGTAGTTCTCATATATGCTTGGATCTGCTTTGTTTGGTGTCACGGTGAGGCATCAATCTTTCCAGTCCGTCGGCACTTATTCTTCCTCCCAAATCTTCCTAAATAGTGTTAAGTATGTTTGTAACTACTTCTATATCTGACTTTAGTGATTCAGCTGTTATATTGCCAAGTTTTGCTGCTTTCTCACTCTTGGTTTGTCTGATGGCCATCCTGATTTCTTCAATCGTTGTCGGGGTGGCATCTATAGGAAGGTCTGTAGGCGCTGTTTCGACTTCCGGTGGATTCAATGTAACTGGTATGCCAATCAGTTCCTCATAGTGCTCTACACACACATTCCTCTGTTTTTGAATCTCAGTGACTGATTCCCCTTCTTTGTGCTTGACTAATCTATTTGGTTTACTATATTTCTCCGCACATTTTTTTTCGTGTCACATAGTTCCTTCATTACCCCTCTCTCGTAGTTTTTTCTGCTGTCGCTGCTAGCTATTCCACTTATTTCTGCTTGTCAGCTCTAATGCTTTTTCTCACTTACTTGTTTGTTTCTATGTATTCAGCTTGTGCTTTGACTTCCTCTGCCGTTCGTCGATTGTCGTTAATTGCTGTCATCTTGTTCCTCCTTTCTTCAACCATCCTCAGGGTTTAGATAGAGATCTATTCCTTGTCGCCGAGCACCTCCAAACACGTTGAAGTTAGTGCTTCCTTGATCGCTTTTCAGTTAGCCTCCATCGTAGTTTCTTCTTTCAGTAGGTCCCGTAAAGCTAGGAACCCGTTGTTGAGAGTTATCTTGAATTCGTTGAGTTTGTCAGTATCTCAAAGGAAAGATGTTTTGTACCCTTGTAATGCCGCCTCGTCAGCTGTCCATTGTTTCTTTACCTTAAGTTTTGTTTTCGCAACCACCAGGTGGTGATCCGAAGCCATATCAGCTCCACTTCTGGTTCTCACGTCTTACGTTGTCCGTCTGAAGTTTTTAGTGATGCAAATATGATCGATCTGACTCACTGTGGTATAATTTCTTTAGACCCATATAGCTTTGTGTATGCGTTTGTGTGGAAATATTTTGCCACTTATATCCAATCTGTTCAATGCAAATATGTTTGCAAATCTCTCCCCATTTTCGTTTCTCTCTACCAGTCCATGTCATCTCATGATGTTGTCCATCCACCATAATTATTCGGAATAAAGATCCTTAAACTCACAGGAAAGAGTTTAAGTGGATTAAATTGTTTATTGTGGTCAGCGTATCTTTAGTATTGTTGTTTTCTACTTGATGGGGTTGCTGACCACATCCCCAACTCACCTTTACCATGTTTTGAGACTGACAGTAACCACGAAAGGACTACAGGCGGAGCTATTATGTTGAAACGTATCCACGTCATAAAGGCTCAGTAGTATACAAAATTGTTCGGTACGTGGTCAATTACAATAAGTCATCCTCCAGGTGTTAGCTGGATGACTTCTTATCACTGATCATGAAATCGAAACTGATAAAAAGACAGAATCAAGTCTGTCCACATTTATCACTTCTGTCTTTGAATCTGTTACATCCGCTTCGAGGCGCTTTTTCCGAGCACATTTTAATGCGATTTTTGTAATAATCAAGCTTGTTACCGGAAATGAGTATCCTACTGTGACATCATTAGCATGCAAATGCGTATCTTTACTAAAAAACTGGAAATATTGATATGAGCTATAAAGATTACCAACACTTAGTACATTTTTGTAGTCGGTGAGAATATATATGATGGATTCATTTCATCTATTTGGTCGGGAATTCTTCAACCATGTAATCAGGCAACCGCTGATCCTATATGTCTCGTGAGATGTTGCCCATATCAGTACGGTGTTAAAACATAGTGCATAAAATTATATTGAACATAGGTTATACAAAAGAAATTAAACTGTTAAATGGTGAAAGATGTAAACTTTAGGAATCTGTGTTGGTTACTAACAAGCTTTGAAATGAGCAAATAGCATCATTAATTCTGTAAATAAATGATATTGCAACAATAGGCAAATAATTGCTAGCCGATGTAATGTCTAGATTGAAAACATAATGGCATATATTTGACTTTCCAGTGATTAGGGCTACCCAATTCGAGTAGTGGTGTACAATTTTTATCCAAGTTATAAATTTTCAACCATAGCAATTGATACATGGCCTTCTAACATTCTGGCAAAGCCTCATCACTGAAAGCTGTGCGAATGAGAGAGTAATGACCTACTTTTATCGAGAGAAAGCGATTGGTGTGATGGAAACAATTATTATTATAACCAATTGTACCAAGGGTTGTTTTACCGTACTTTTTTGTTTAACTGTACGGAAACACACACATTCTTCCGTTGATTGTGACCTTGTACAGGTTCAGTTACGCTCAGTAACCACGCTTGTACTCCTTTGGCACGATCTCGGTATCTTTTCCATACCACGAGATCGCCAACAAATACATCTCGACTACAGCCATCAACTGTCTTCTGATATTTGGCTTACGGGGAATCTTATCGGTTAACTGGCACGTAGTCTTCCTGTAGTGGTGATCATAGTCAACCGCAACTCGACATCACACTACAACTTGTTCATACGTTTAAACTAACTCGGTTGATTGATTGCAGATGTTTGTAATAACAACGACTTTGTTCACTGATATTAAACCCTTCTCTCGAAGCACTGAGTTGACCTCAGAGAAATGTAGGTCTCAACTAATTTTATTTATACTCTACCGAATGATCTTGTCAAAAAGAACAGGAAATCCGAATACATGTAGTTTTAAAGAGTAATGTATTCTATACATACGACTCAGCAGCCAGATGATGAAAATGAATAAACCTACATAGCTTGGAGAATATTGATATTTGAAGAGTGGTCTTTTGATCGAAATCTGTGACTTCAGATTAACTCAGGTTTCATATTGAGCAAGCGATGACTATAAATATTAATCACTGCCACCATCAATTGCTTCCCAGACAGTTTTTAAGACGGTTCAGTAGAAGATACCTGTCGATCAGTATTGTCGAATTCGACAGATTATAATGTACCTTCATGTTCAGTAATCTCTGGTGGATTTCTAGTATATTAACAGGGTCTCAAACTTCATATCTTCAGATCCTATTTTACGTGCTTTTGTGGCGGATTGATATAAGGATGGTGATATCAAAGATAACAGAACAGAGAGCCTGAAAACGTTAGGGGTTGAAACAAAGAGAGAAGAGCGAAGCAAATTGGAGAACGTAAGTGAGCTAACTCGATTTAATCAGACGTAAATCAATATTTGTAGCCAGATAAGAATAAGCTACAGACATGTGATGAATAGGATAAGATGCGCACACATACACCCTCATCTAAAAACAGTCAAAACAAATAGGGCAATAAGTAACAAGGTCAAAATGTGGTTTAAGAAGAATGGAATGATAACTTTTCCGGGAGATAGAATAAATTATGTGGGATTAACATTGCACATGACGTTACACTATGTCCCAAAACTTCACCTAGTGGTGCTTGCAGTAAGTTCTGAAATGGTCAGGATCATTGTATAACGTCTTCAGGCCAATTAGTTCGAAGGGATTATTTGCTACCTTGCTTTATCAATAGTCACTGCTATCATGTTCTCTGCTTAGCCTGAAGATGATGCGTATAGGCAGTGTTCGACAGTGCTGTCGCCAATTAGGTCAGTAGTCAATTTTAATGGGAGGAGGAGATGTGTTTGAACTAATGATAGACATATCGTTTCCTATGTAAAACGAGCTGGTAAGCAGCCGTAAAAGCTGCTCAGTACGAAGTGCTTAAACGTAGCCTAGTGAAGACATCTTATAGAATGTCCAGTAAAACTAATAAGATCACTACCAATATCACTGACTTACTGAGATATTCATTTTTGAAGTTTATTCATCTTCGCGGCTCAGATTGGAGGAACACTACGCCGACTGTTCTTCATCTTATAATTGTGGTCTCTCGACAGTTCAATGAATTCTCGAAAAATTGAGGTCACCTATCATGAAATTAAGGATAAAGTTTGACGAGCGATGGGTCATAAAACTTTTGAGCAGATGCAATCTGTCCTTCCTACAACGTATATACATTGTATCCAAAATGGTTTCACAGAGCTGATTGCCTGTTAGCAGGTTTAGGTTTGATCAATAGTTAGTCATAATTTGGAACTCCCTGTCTCATGGATGTTAAAAGAGGGTATTCGATTCAAGAGTTAGAATTTTTTCACTCACCATATCGTGCTACACTATTGAAACATCAGACTCGAAGTTGTGAACAGTTTTGAATCTGATCGGTACGTGTATGCGGCTCATCGTATATAACCTACTCAGGATTTCACGCTATGCAATCCTGGTTTTGATTGGTAAATCTTCTTGATATTGAGCTTTTCTTCTTTACAATTGCATTTGACTAATCTCGGTATCAAAATAAAGGTTCATGCTCCTTGCTAATTAATTTTCTGGCCCATTCTCTTTTACAGATTTCTCTACCTTCGCTCTTCGATATACTCTACCAGCAAACAATATAACTTCAGAATAAGCACACACTGTTCCACTTACAGTTCTCAAAAGAATGGGAGGGCTTCTATCCTCACCTAAAACTGACAAATACAATGAAACTGGTTGTGGCAATGGACTTCGATACGGGATCTCCAGCATGCAAGGCTGGCGTCTTTCAATGGAGGATTCTCACTGTGCCATAACACAACTTCCTGGGAATCTTAAGGATTGGTCGTTCTTTGCTGTTTTTGATGGCCATGCTGGTGCCTTGGTATCAGAACTCTGTGCCACAGAGCTGTTGAAGGTTTGTCGCCTATTTGCGTACTTTATGACATTAGATTGTTGTCCGGATTCGAATTCAGCCTAGGATTTGAGGTTCCGTAGACTATTATCACTATTTAACTAACCAAAGTTTCAAGATGCTATCCTTTTTTGAAGATAAATTTTGATTTAGATGCTTACCTAATAAAATTGTTCAATACCTGGTATGTATATTTGACTTGTAAACATATTCGTTTCTGAAAAGCGATGAGAATTAGGGACTTTGCCACAACCCATCCACTTTTTCCATTCGAATTCTGTTCTCTGTAATGACATTGTTGATGGCTCGAATTCGCTTCATTACACATCACCTATCCAATATTTCACACTTCTAAAACCTGTTGGTTCATCTTCGTGGATATGACAGCCTTGATGCTTGTCACCACCAGTTAACCTTTCCCTGGGTTAGGTATAGGGTAGTATGTAAAGCTAACGAATCGATCGATGAAATAGCGAATCTTCAACTGAGATGTTTGGGGCATGTTTCGCGTATGCCCGATCCCGCCTATTGTCCGGGGGAGTAGGCTGCAAGAATGTTAGGGGTGGCCAAACCTGGACATGGCACCAGTCTATGAAGTCATTGACAGTTGGACCTAGTCATGTTAATGGATGTAGACTACCTAGTTGAGTTCCACGTGATTATCGTAACCAATGGTTAAAGACTTCGAGTGAAATTGCCCAAAGTCGTTTCCAACGGTTCGGGTGCGTCCATCATTCGTCCTCTCCTAGATTTTAGGCTTCTGAATTCTTCATAACTTTCCTTTGTTTTCATTTCACAAACTTATATTTTCTTCTCGAATCGTATCTTCAATGCTTAATCTTTCCTATTACCATTGGTACTGTAGCTACCTTTACTATTCTGTGTTTTTGTCTGACGACTCCATCTCTGTGCTAATGAGGTATTTCAGCTTAAACCAGGCCCTACTTTGCGTATGACTGACCGACTCATCAAATTTCACTACTAAACGAGATATGCGTCTGAGATGTTATGTTATTTGACTGTATTCCTGTTGAAGATCAATGGTATGATGATTTCCAAGACTTCAAATAATACAACAGTTGATTCGCATTAATTTAGATAAAAGAAAAATCCATCGAGTCACTCACCGACGTTACCAGTAGAATTATTTGTCAAATACAGCAGAAACTCCGCAATATATTCGGGGTACTAAAGGTATTTGAAATTTCCAACCAGAACCCTACGTACAGCAGCAACAACCTGGCAGTACACGAAAGTATTCTTGTAGAAAAATACTTAGTACTCCTAGCTTGGCTGGCAATAAAACTCAATGTATTTTCCGGGAGAATGGCTATTGATGCACTTCCGGGAAGTGTGCATTACGTTGAACAAGTGCATTCAATCGAAAACTAATAGAAAACCATACTTCACATGAGGAAAACAACAAAGTATAGGCATCGTAAAATCCAACGATATTGATCGAGTTTGAGTTAGTATATTTCCCAATGTAGCTTCAAGTAAAATTTTTCTGAAAAATTCTTAACTGGAGTTAGATGTATTTAACAGATTACAATGAACACAAATCAGAGGGAACATATTTTGTAGTGTCACGATGCAGGGGATTGGGGAAAAGTAGTCAGTGTCCTATCTGAACTATCTGGTGTTTTTCGAACCTTTATTTGGCTGAACACTATGTTAATCATGACTGACTGAGGAACCTCTTTATTTGAATTAATGTGTTCTAAAATATGCAGATCTTTGTCCTTAAATTTGAGTTAAGGAAGGCCTATGTGGTAATTATACACGATCCCATACGATTAGCTCCATGGATTTGTAATAATAAGGGCAATTTCCCTTCGTCCTATTTTTTGTAGCATATTCTATTACACTGCTCTTTGCTTATTAGATTAAATATGAGAAATGCTCTTAGCTGTTATAGACAAATTTATCACCAACATCCCTTCAGTAGTTCAGTAGTCGTTCAGTCGATTCATGGCTATTTATGACTGGTAACGTAACAAAAGTCGTCTTTCGTTAAAATCTAAAATTTGAAGATAGTGTGGTTTGCCGTATAAGCTCATTTTATTCTGTTGATTTGTATTACCTTTTTTTCACACATTAATTCTAATTAACTTCAAGGTGCTCAATGAATTAGTCGTTCAACTGGTTTCGTTATTTACCAAATAATATTCTGCCTTTTTTAGTGTATTGTGGATACTGAGGAATTCAAGAAAATCAATCCTGACTTGGCACCTAGTTTACAAGAAGTAGAACGTGGCATTCGCGATGGTTTCTTATCTTTGGATGATCGTCTTCGACACCTTCCTCAACTTGCTAGCGGTGAAGATAGATCAGGATCCACTGCTGTCTGTGTGCTCATAACACCTAAACATATTTTCTTTGCCAATTGTGGCGACTCTCGTGCCATACTCATTCGAAAAGGTAAAGTTGCCTTTGCTACAGTTGATCATAAACCTGTAAATCCAAATGAGAAACAGCGTATACAAAATGCCGGTGGTTCCGTTATTATACAACGAGTAAATGGTTCTCTTGCGGTTTCTCGGTATGTTGGTTATAGTTTTAAAAAATTCTCTGCTGCCTTTGTGTTTGTATACATGTATATTATAATTTGAGTGATTTTCAATGAAGCAACGGTTCAGCAATCTACAATATAACTACCTGTGGTCGCACACCGATTTAGCTAGGTTTAATATCGTGGTACAATCAAGTTGCACTTCTGAAACATATAATTTTTACTTGGATTTGTTGTTGAAGTTAATATGCACAGGGCATAGTGAATCGTAACTCAAAATAACAGTTCATTACCAGCAAAACTCGAAATTTACAATCCGGTATTGAGTAGTTAAGACAGGATATTTCATCTAAGTTTGTCTTTAATTGATAACGAAGGTTGATACAATGTCTCGGTATTTTTTGGAATCTCTCGAGATACTGTCACATTTTTATTTTAGTATCCCCAACCATTGCCTACTTCGAAGGGTGATATTTTCTGGTAGATTAGACTGGAATGATGTTAGGGGTGCCAAACCTAAACATGGCATTAGTCCGTGAAGTTGTGAGAGTATACTTTATGGATGACCTTTGAGCGACTCTAAGGTGACCTTTAGAGTATCCACCTACTTACTAGGGCTAAATGAGGGTTATAAAGCAATGTGCCCGACCGTTGTTGCTACCTTGACGTGGTGGTCGGGCTTGCCTATCGTGATGAAGCAACCGAGCTATACTGGCTGGAACAACCGTTCCTCAAGGTCTTACCATGTCAGACAGGTCGGTTGAAGAGCGGTAAGACTAAAAGCAACAAACCCAAGGTCCGAAGGCGAAGTCGTACTGCTGACTGTACAGAGGTGTGACAGCAGTAAGGTGTTTCTTTCAGACAACCAGTATGACAGCGATGCTGCCTTCCCGCAAAGAGGGGTGGGGTTAGAAAGGGTCGACCCTAAAAATGCACACCTCGCCTTATCGCACGGATATCCGTCTCCGGCGGTAAGGTCTCAACAATACGGAGCTAACAAGAAAATTACCCATAAAAAGGTCGTGTGTGACTGAGCTGAAGCAATTGTCCCTTGGGCACTGCGGTCACGTTCTCAGGTCACTCAGACCACCTCTAATCCAATTTTCTTTCCCGGTACCTCCAGAATAATCATTCCACGGTGTGGACAACCGGGAAGTGATAACCACCCTCATACCTCTAACAGCACTCAAGACCACTGTATTCATAATTCACCCTCTGACTGACTAACGGTGACAATTGAGATGTACTAATAGAATACTCGTTTGCTCAACGAAACTTGTGCTGTTGCTCGGGGGTTTGGACACTCAGTTTTAAATTGTTTGGATAAAGATTTAAAACTCTCATCTTCCTCCGAATGCCCTGGTATGGCTGAGAGTGGGGAGATCACGCTCACCCCTTCGAAATGCTCTCACGTGGCCACGTGCATACAACCACTGCCAGGAAAGTCCTACTTACTGCCTTCTCGCGGCGGGGGTGTTGTTTACCAAATTGAAAGCACCAAAAGCGAATGTACGGCACTTTAACCAAGTTGGTGGACACGGAGGGTCCATCTAGTGGAGTTGGAAAACACTGATTCTAAACCAGTGGTGCACATGGGCTGGCTCCAGGATCCCGAGTGAACAAAAGGCGTATGAACCTATTGTTGGTCACTGGTTACTATGAGACTGCGTCTCCGGTCGTAGTCCCATAAGAAAACCACCTGCTTCGGTTCAGGCACCTGAGCAGTATCACAGCCCTCACACAAACCGAATGGTGAAGTGTAGCCCACATGTATTTGGTGTCCCCTTGTACCAATATTTATGTTTAAGTAAATAAATAAAAACTCCTTTCCAATTTATTAAGGTTTCTCACATTTGATTGCCATGATTAACCGTCATACCGTAGATGTGACTCACTTTTTGACAGGAATACATACTTTAACATTCTGGGCAATTAATATTTTTAGCTAAAATTTCCAGTGTATCTTTTTACGCTATTATTTCGAAGTTATGCTTAATCGTTGTCATAATTCTTAATTTTTTTAGATCATTAGGGGATTATGCCTTTAAAGCTGCTAAAGATTTAGGTCCTACGGAACAACTTATATCCCCAGAACCTGAAATCACTGTTGTTGATCGTGATAAAGATTTAGATGAAATTATCGTTTTAGCCTGTGACGGTATTTGGGATGTTTTAACTAATGAAGAACTTTGTTTACTTTTGCAAAATCGCATGCGATGTGTTGATGACTTATCAATGATATGCAATGAAACTATTGATATGTGTTTGTATAAAGTGAGTTTTTCTCTTTAATTTTCAGTCATTTGAATGTCGTTTCTGATGTTGATGTGTGTGTAAAACTGCTGATTTTGTATTGTTCAATAGGGCTTGGTTCGGTCTGTTTAATCTTAGCTATTTTTCAAAGGTAATTAAGTATTTCTTTTTTACTGTCTCCAATCTATATATCGTGATTTTCATTTTTATCGTCATGCAAAAACAGTCACCAGGCTGTATAACTTGTTATAACATGAACAGTGCGATTAGATATAAACCTGTACCTGGTAAATGAGCCATAAATCAAAGTGATGATAGATAGTGGATAAATTATTAAAAGTTAAAAACTTATGGTAGTGATTTACTCTTTTTTAATTAAAAATAACAATCAAGAGAAAGTTAAATACGACACCATCATTTTTCAGTCCTATTTTCATATGCTGTAGCAATTCATTCGGTTGGTAATTAGACAATGTGAACTATTCATAGGAAATGTTTGTGTTAAGTAGCTAAATGAAACGAAAATTTTAGTTGGACTCAAATCTAAACCTCTGCCGTTTTCCTTTTTTGGAAAGGTAATAAAAGCGAACATATAGATATACCCTTGTGGAAAAGCTATGTAGAATTTAAAGTTGATTCAATTCCAACGGTAGGATCAGTTTTAAACAACAACCTCTATCTTGAATCTGAGAGTTTACTTACTGCCACTGTATCTTTTCCTCACTGTTAAAACATTAGTTCATAGATTTATATAATTGGAAATGTTTATAGTATTGATGTGGTTGATGTTTCTTGAACCATTTGCTTTCGACAAGTAATTATGGCGTAAGAAATGTTTGTTATTTGTGATTAATTTACTGTATAGGTTTGTGTATTCCGCTTCAAGCCACACGTTTTGTTTGAGAGATAGTTAAACATATTCACTCATGCCGTAACATATGTGGTGAGCATTGACCTTGAAATCCTATGGTTTAGACTTAATTGTTTTAAGCACCAAGCTACCATGATCTGTACTGTTGGATATAATCATGAAGCGAGTTCAAATTTTAATCATTACTAAGTCCTAGTAAATTTAGTCATAAAATCTTTTGCATAAGCTTATTTTTATAGCGTATTAGATTAAATTGAAAATTATTATCAATATCTCCGTAGAGTAGTCGTTATAAGTTAAGAAAAGAACTTTACGGTATGAATATGTGATTGCTATGACCATGTGTTTCACGTCTGTCCTTAACCTACTTTTAATCTGAATTGACTAGTAATACATAGCAATATATACATGATTATATCATAATACTTAACGTAAGTTATTTACGAAGTAGAGGCTTATATACTATTTCTGTAAAGGCTACCGATACTATCCGGTTGCCCATGCTGATTTGACAGAGCTAAAATTAATCGCATTAGAGCGAATGACTTAGAGTTATTATATTCCTCAATCGTTTATTTGTCAACTGGCTTCTAATTATATTCTTGTATTCATTATTTTGTAACCAAACGTGTTATATTGTTAAAAGAGGAAACTTATTCCAATGAGCAGCTGTCTATTCTTCTGATATCAGTTCAATTAGTGGGGGTCTTACGTCTGTAATTCGGTCTCGTAAACAATTATCACTCGAGTTCATTGTCTTATAGGATATTATCAACTAAGCGACGTCTTTCGTTCTCTAATTTAACAGTCCTCAAACAAATTTTTATTACAGATCATAAAAGGTTAATCCATAACATGTTGAAGTATAGTTGAATTCGAAGTTAAAATCTGCTGATTGAAACTTGAGTGGTTTGATCACTAATAGATCGTCAGAAATTGTGTAGTGGAATTTATGTCTCACAACATGAAACACCTTGTAGCTTTGTGAAATCAGCTATACTTTTTGTGATTGATAAACTAGTGAAAACCAACATTGTTTCGTTATCACATAGACTGGTCAATTGGTTTATCACTTATTTACAAATTCTATAATTTTTATTTTTTTATTTTCCCTTATTGAAGGGGAGTTCCGATAATATGAGTATGGTTCTAGTGGCATTTGATCCTGCTCCTCGAGTAGATCCTACTTCTAAAACGGAAGATGAAAATTTAGAATCTGTTTTAGTACAACGTACTAAAGGTAAGACGTTGGTGCTATTGCTTTATAATATTCTGTTATTTTATCGTTAGTAGTTTAGGGGATACTTGTCGCTCGAATGTCTATGCTCTTATTTTACAGTAAGTTTTATCATGCCTGATGCGTAATGGTTATGCAGCTGTAGTGCTCCTACCAACATTCCAATATTCGATCTGAACACGGAACTAACGAACCAAAATTTATTCGATTAGAACAAATCGCGTTCTAAGCGCCATTGAGTGACTCGTATTAAATTATATCAAAACACAAACTCTTTGCTCAATTTGAACGGTTCTAATTTGAGAAAAAACTATCAAAAGTACAAAACACCTCAAGCGGTACATCCTGTGCTATATAGTCAAAGGTTTCTCTAGCACAAAGTAACGTGTTAAACAGCAAAAGGAATAGTTAACAAACAATAGTTCGATACCTGAGAATGGGATCATATATCTATGGTCAAGGATTCCAGTAACTTTTCAAAGCAGACAGTCAGGTTAACAATCATACACTGAACTACGCCGCGACATTGAGTTTAGTCAAATACGACATTATTGTCAATTGTCCGGCAACATGCAACAGTAAAATTAAGTAATGAGGTAAATCTCTAACCAAGATCAAATAGAAAGGTCAAGACAAGAAAGACTGAAGAACATATAGTGTGGTTAAAAGAGACCTGAATGAAAGTTAGAATACAGGACAGGGAAAAGGAACAAATGAATAACAATACTGCCCAATAAAATGCTTTGGAGGGATTTTCAGAGTGTTCTTTCCGTTATAATGAATGTTGTTCACCTAGAGGAAAGAGAATTAGTGTTGATTACATAAATATGTAAAGCGAAATTTAAATGTTTATGTTTTGGGATTCTTCGTAGTACTATCATCCTGCCTACCAACTGACTCACACTCACTTATACAACAGTGTTTTAGAACATGGACAAATTTGCCTGCATTTAATCTCAGATGATACATACTATTTCTTACCTCTATGTAAAATTCTAATACATATTTGGTTGTATGCAGCTGATGAGAAATCACGAAATATAGTGAATTCATATTATTCTGTATCTATATTTGTTCTGGCTTTATTTAAATTCGTAAAGGAAACTAACTGCTTGAAATCTCAGATCTATTATTTTACCTGATGGTAACACTTGACCCAGTCTGAGTTATTTTGCTGATGTTTGTTATTGAAATATCTATCAAAGAAGCTCACAGATCTATAAGAAAGCTAGGATTTGAATTAACCATTTGAAGCAATGTTCGTCGGTGCATCTCACATTTCTTAATTCCTATTCAATTTTGTCATAAATATTCTCTTAAAGATAACTCTTCATTTGATCTTTCACTGTTTCGTCTCTTAAATAGAAAGTCTTTCATCAGCTGTGAGTAGTACACTTATCATGTAGTTGTGTTTGATGAGAATACTATTAATGGTGCACTTGCAATAATTTTTATAATCGTAAATTTTCAAAGCTATTTTATTACTTTTGGACTATATTTCATAAATGTGGTTTTCCTCTACCGTCCAAACACTTGGAATTTGAGGCTTTATAACCTTTAATTTTTTTTCACTAGGATTATGCAGAAATGTTAATTAAAAATTCAAGCTATTGAATTCTCCGTCTTTGCACACTATCTGTAACTTAAGAATATAGATTGATAATATTTGAGGAAATTCTTATTTTCCTTAGATTTCAATTTGAAAATAGTTCTGCTGCATAATGATGTTCACGACAGCTGGTTGTAAGTTAATTCATAGTAATCGAATCTGGGAAAGTGTTATTCAGTACACCAAATAATGCAGCAGTATAGCAAAACAAGAAAGTTCATGTAATATGAAATACTACTTACTTACTGTCTAATTTAGTGGTTTATGGAACTTTATTTCTGGTGAAGTCACTTTTCCTTACTGTTTGAAGTCATTTAGAGTCATTGAAAACGAAGGAGCACCAAACTACTTCTTTAACCTGCGCGATTCGTCAACAATGCACGTTCGTATCCTTGATATGGAATCCAACCGAGGATCCTAACATTTTGCAACTAAAGCGATACTGTGTCGGAATCTAGCGTCTACGTTTTCCGACTTTAGTCATTTCGGAATGTAGCACAATCATCAATAATTATTAAGTGATCTTTGGTAACTTTGAGATGTATGTGTCACAGATTTTCGAAAGAACGTTAGTGTGTCAGCTCAGTTTTGCGCACCGATGAGAGCTAAAAGAACGAGTTAAGCGATATCGGTTAATCTAAACCATGAAATTCCGACTCAACAACCGAATAGTGTCATGCTCATTCCGAGCTTCGTTGGATTAAGATTTTGCCTATTATAGAGTCATTAGTAGACAAAACGGCTGTTCAGTTCTTTTTAACTCTTAGTGGCTTTTACGAATTATGCCGATCCACAGTGAAGTTTACTATCAAAATGGTATCCATATTATAAGCTTATTTGTTAGTCCTCTTTAGTCTAGTCACAGATGACCAGAGGGTCACTAGAGGTTCTTTCACCGAGTATTCCATTAAACAGGTCTATGGCGGATTGGTTCAACCATGGATATTTCAATTGATTGATTACAGATTACACTTTTAAGTGGTTCATTCAAACAACAGGCAAAAGATGTGACTTGAAGACTAGTTTAAGAACTTGTCTGCATAAATTGCAAATATTTTGCATATCGAAAATATGTAATCTTACGTGTATGTAGTTTGTATAGCTTTATAATACTAACTAAAGCGATTTATTTTGTGCTATGCGTATAAAATCAAGTCAGTTATTTGTTTTAAATTTGTAGTATAATTCCATTTCACTAAAGTTCTAAATTCATTTCTTTTCTCTATTTTATGTATATAATGGGGCTATTTTAACTTTTCACTTCCGGCTTTTCCGCATTATAATTTACTCTTTTTTTCCAGTAAATAATGTGTCTAATTGTTAAATGCTATTTTCTTTGATGTATACAATGAATACCAGTGAAAAGAAAGCTTTTATTTGCTTTGATATCAGTGATTAAACTATGCATAGTGTTTGGTTTTTAATTTTAAATTTTTTATTTTTCCTGATGTTTATCTGAAAGGACTATAATTTCCTTTTCTCATTATAGAATTTCTGGAAAAGCATAGCAAAACTGAAGTAACAACTGAAATGGTTGTAGAAGATTTACAAGCATCTGTTGGCAGTTTGCCATCTTCTGGAAATTGGCTTTGCAAGTAAATCCCTTTCTGTACTTTGTTTCTTTCAATGTTATTTTATATTTTCTTCTTATCGGTATTATGAAATGAAGGAGGTACATTTTCATGCGAAATCAATATTGATCCGCTGAACATTTATAAATCCACGATATTAGGGCAGTTAAATTATAACATTGAGACTTGATTATGCTTTTGTAGACTGTGATGAAGAAACTAACTAGTTGAAAAGGTCTTGATCGTTCTTATCCATGATCCAACTTTCTAAAACTGGGAAACAATCTGTCAGTATTTTTACTTGTGTTATAATTTTAAAATAATACTGACTTATAAAGTAAATAACTTCTACACTTTTTTAAATCAAAAGTCCGATATATATTCGTGAGAATATTTAGAAAATTCACTAAGGATTGTTTCTAATATACTTTATTCATCATGTTAAACGAGCTAATAATCTTCTAATTCATTGACCACGTACAAATATATACATACATAGTTCTCTAAATTCTACCAATACTACCTATTTGACCGAACTTAAGAATATGTGGTTGGCTTCAAACTTGAAATTCGAAAGAATGAAAATAACAGTCATCGTTTTTTCCTTGAATAAACAAGTCAAGTAAGTAATAAATGGGAGGGATTATCTGGCGAAAGTCAATATTATTAGTACTGGGAGTTTCGTGGTTTATGTCACGTAATGACTCTAGGCAACCGTTGAAAACCAGGGTGTTTTGTTTGCAGCAGTACGCATTCAAGACCTCTCACGAGATGGAGCTTAGAAACCTCAGGTCTCTCAATGATGAACTTTTAGCTTTTAGAACGTTGGGTTCAGCTTTGAACAACAGCCCATTTGGTTAAGATTCAATTTGCATTTTGAGCTTGAGTCAACTCGCTTTATTACTCAATCATCATCCACTCAACCCCTTTGTTGGATAACTGCGTCATTCTCGATTTGGTTGAGCTCCACTCGTCATGGCTCTTCGCTAAAAACCCTCAGGGTTCAATTAATGGGCGCATACCTCCAAGGAATCTCATTTTAGGACGAAACAGTTGTCTAAGGTTTTCCTGGTTTCCAATTAAGTTCCGTCCGCGATGTAAATCACGAAAAACCTTTCTTCGTATAACTGGTGTTTTATGTATGTTATTCTGTGATCGTTAGTCATTTTTGTTTGTGGTGGAAAATTGGTATGTACGTTATTTCGGTTGGTAATTACTTTTTTTAATGATTAGTTTTGAAATATTATTCAAGTCAACTTTAATGTATTTCAATGCAGTACTAATCTGTAAGTATGCATGGTTTGGTGATGGAAAGGTAAACTGCTTCAAGCTATTGAGTTACTTATTTTGACATTTGGATGAATTGTTTCGTTTTGAATACAAAATTAAGACATTATGTGAATTGATTGTTCAAACAATTCGATTGATTGTACGTCGTATATTTATTTATTTGAAAAATGTAAGAATTTAAATAGTTTCTCCAGTAAAAATTGATTTTAAAGCATATGTATTCAAGAATTCCCTTCTGAATAAATTCAAAACTCCATTCCATCTAGTTTGTCGAAAATATCAGCAAATTCTAGTGATTACTAATTCGTTAAACTCTGCAGAAAACCTGAAACATCAACCTGGTATATCCTAGCGGAGTCACATGACGTAGTTAGTTTTGTAATTCAGATTCTTAAAAATTGTCAGAATTTAGTGTGGTTCACATTCAGTTAAATAAAGTTAATTTGGATAATTATTTGAACTACAGAAATTTGTAAGTATAAAATGGGAATTATAACTATATGAAAAATATATGATTAACTTAATGCAAAGTGACTTATCTTTTCAATTCGTTGTTTTTCTCTTCTTAGGATTGGCAAAATCCAAGAACTGATTGATTCTCATCGTCTAGCTTATTCAAATCGTGGGATTGAGAACCGATGAACTCATATACTCTCTTATCCTTCATTCTCTCATCTTTTTTATTCTTTCTCTTAAATGTATCGACTGTTTGTGTTACGTTTATGCTTTGTATGTATGTATGGGTGTTTGTAAATATGATGAATATACTTGAGCTAATCTACTCTTGTCTGATTTTCATATGCTTAAATGAATATTCTTAAATTGTTGCTTATGGATCTAGTCACTCGCTTGCTAATGATGATACTATAGGGTTTGTACATTTCATCTTGTTGAATTATATTCATTTCCATTTGCAATCAATATTTCCGTCATATATATATACTTCATGCTCAATATATCTTTATTTTCCTTCCTTTCTATTCACCGAAGTATGTGTATTATCTTCAGTCTATCAAACGATAATGTGCAGTATTATATATATTTATATATATATTTTTCTCTATCTCTTCATTTTCTTTTCACATATTTATGTAATATATTTCATGTGGTTTCATTTGATCCTAACAGTAGTAGAATAACGGTAATAGTAATGGTATTTATGATTATTATTATTTTTTATGATACTGTTGAATTTGTACATGATCAGCAAAAAGAAAAAAAAACACAAGTTGGTACTGCATTTATTTATTACCATTTTCATATTCATAAATTTATAGTTTTGAATGAGGCTAGATTGTTTTTTTTGTTGCTACTGGGTAATTAATGTTGATGTTTTGTTTTACTCATGTTAACGTAATTTCTATAATTTGTTTCTTTTATGTTGCTAGAGGAAAATTAACCCAGAGATATTCAATATTATGTTTGTGTGCGTGTATGTGAATAAATATGAATCTAATCATTTAAAGTCAAAGATATTTTTCTTTCTATACAAATAAGTCATTGATTGGTCTCAATGTTGTCTCATTTAAATATTGTTATGAGCACTAGATGATCAATAATAATACAAATAGTGTTGAACATAAGAATTATTGAATATCCGGTACTGTTTATTCTTTTATTAATTATTATTTAGTAAATATGTTTACATATACAGAGGAGAGTATGTAGTTATAACAAACTGAACAATACTAGCCATGGGTTTACAAAAAAATAATGAGTAGGTCCTATATTGTGCTTTTTTTCCAATGTTGTACTCAATAAATATGTATCTTCAATATGATAATATTTTGATGCACCAATGCCAACTTATATGCATTTAATTTGTTGATATATTTTTCTTGTGTTTTTTTATTTACATTGTTATATAAGATGATTAATTAATAACAAACTGTATGTAACAGAATATTTGTATTTGTAGTAAGCTATTTGTAACCAGTTTTGAAGATGAAAACTGTTAATGTTTCATTGAAATATTCGTTACGCGTAAATTTATTCACATTAAACATGTGTAACAGATTTTCTTTTTGTTTTAGTGATATCTGGAACCTCGTACATTTTTATGCATAGGTTGTTTTTTCTTATATTGGGCAGTTCAAAGTTTCTGTTAGTTTACATTTCGTTTAATTCACTTAAGAATTTCACATGAATTTTGGATATTAATTCGTTTAGTTGGTAATTACATAGTCGTTCAATGAATTTATCATTAAATGATGTGAATCATAACAAGACAGCTTAGTGCTATTTTTTTTTCAATAAACAGATTTCACATTGACTAGACTTATATACTATCAAGAATAACGATAATTTATCAGCTTTTCAAGTTATGATATTGACTACTAAAATTCCTAGTTATATCAACTGCACTGAATATTCAAAGATAAAATTAAGTTATTATTTACTGTACGATATTTCTGTACTTCACCACATGCGTGCAAATAAAGTGACCATGTAGCATGAAATAGTTAAGCTAGTTTAGTGAATTCATGATAAGAGCTAAATACAATGTCTAATATTACGAATAGGGAAGAGTTATGAAAAGGTATTTTTTGGAACAGATTATTTTGAATTTGTCATTTGCATCATGTTTTAAGTTTGAGTAAAATACCATTGATAACCTAGAAGCACTAGAAGGCTATTGTCTTCTATTATAAGACTTCTTTTCACTGACCATCTACAACTCTTCCAGGAATCAGACAGAAGTTATCCAGACCCCACAAGATATGAATTATCTTCAAACCAGAGATGACAAATAGCTCCTAGTAATCTTTATTAAATGTTGAATTTCATAAGAATACATTTGTGATGCGGAGATATTATACTATGAGAATTAACGATTTTCTTAGTTCCATCGACTATCTTTGTTTTCGCATAATACTACCTAGTATTCATTCAACGAATTGTTTTTTAGTTGATTGCTTTTGTTTATTGTCCAGTAATTAGTAATAGGAAAATGTTAAACAATATTCCACAATAATGTTCAAGAAAGAAATATCTAATAACTGTAAGCTACTGACAAACCGAATCCACGAAAACTCACAATATAAATCTACTGGTTTTTTTTTCATGGATACATTCTCCATCTGTTTAATCAGGAAATTAAGCTTTGAATAATAATAATAATGTCCTTTTGGAGGATTTTCACACACTTGTATAAACACTTTTCTTAATAATCTATTGTCAAATAAGTAAAAGTAGATCGTTTGTTTCTCTATCAGTTGTCTATACCAGTATATTACATAATTCTGCTCTTGATATAAACAATTCACTATTCGAGTTAAATTGTATTTACTGTCATTTTCATATTACATTATGATTTTTAATATTTTTCGCATATAATATCATGATGTAATCCATAGGATAATAATCAATTAATAACTGATTGGAGGTGAATTCTAAGTAATTGATTATCGAATTTCAATAAATTATTTCAATTTAATCGATCGATAATGGTACAAAATAAAATAATGAAAGGTTACAGTTTCAATTTAAATTAATGTGAAGAAAAGTCACAAAAAAAATAGTGTCAGCTCTAGAAACAAAAAAATGTTAAAGATGTATAGAAATTCATTAAAATGTAAAAAATAGAAAATGATAAATTTAACCGTTAACCTAAGTTTACTAAGCGTGATTTAATGATAACTAGGTTAGATGCTTATTAAAATTTTGATAAAATATTGTACTATACCATGCTAATACAATATTTAAAACAATTAACACGAATTGAGTATTATATATGTATATATTTCCGTTAATAAACACTTTGTAAAGTGTTAGTAACAAAAATTTTGAAAAATATGAATTCAATTCATTTTGGCTATTCTAAATCTCACTGATTGAAATCATGAGTCAATTGGAGCTAGACCACCATGGAAAACCTGGAGTCACTGGACGGCCGTTTCGTCCTAGTATGGGACTCCTCGGCAGTGCGCATCCACGATCGTGCACCCCGCGAGATTCGAATCCATGATCTATCAGTCTCGCGCCAGGCGCTCAACCAACTAGATCACTGAGCCGGTATCCAACGGTGTTAATGTCTAACTTCAACCAATCCACGAAGTTGCGCCACTGTAAACCATTGTTTTCAGTGAGCTGATATCGCGGGGTGCGGGATCGTGGACGGACACTACTGAGGCGTCCCATACTAGGGCGAAACGGCCATGCAGTGCTTCCAGGTTTTCCATGGTGGTCTAGCTTCAATTGACTCATGATTTCAATCAGTGAAATTTCTAAAAGTCTCCACAAAACCACTTCCGGTATTCTAAGTCTTCCAAATATGCATTAGTTTTATGTTTCGGAGATCCAGAAAATCCCTCGAGAAAAGCTCAAAGGTGCCTTGAAAACTGGAAAACATCTTATTCAATCAGCGATCAATAAAGTATCTAGGACGTAAAGTCATATTTGTGACTGAATGATTGCCAATCCTGCTACTATGTTTATCAGTATTCCAGAAGCCCAAGGCCATCTGAAATGCTATAAATACCCTAGATTTTCTGTACATAAACTAACCCTGAAGTAAAGCGTTCTTTCCATATTTTCCGTGCTCAGGTAAGGAGAATCATAGACAAGTATGGAATCGAGAATCAAGTTAAAGGGAGAGACAGTCAAGATCGAGGTGGACAGGATAAGTTATTAGCCATATGTGGGGAAATTCGAGTACTGCAATTCCACTTGAAGTTTTTGCTGAGGATATTGTTCAGAAAAAACATATCTCCACGACTAAACCGTCGAGTTCTGAGAACGAAGCTCTAAAATTATCTGTGAGCTATAAATCTGCAACCCCATCTTGAAGATGATATGAGGCTCTGGTTGAGCAAAGAGTTTTCCTCAGGGATTTTGAGATTTGCCTTTTCTACTTTACCGCAGCAATTTCTTGTTCAAGTTCAATATTCGTGAAAACTTTTCAACTCTCGATGATCTGTCAGGTTATAGTGTTAAGTTTCTATCGATGAATCAAGGTGAATAATCACATCAGTTGAAGTTAACTATTAGAATTTATATATGGCTGAATAATAGCGTTTTTTGTCAAAAGTAATATGACAGGACTATACCATGACACATGTTCTATTGAACTGAAAATGACTATTCACCGCTCCTCTCCCATGCTAATAAGACAATCTATTAGTCAATTATATAGAGATTGCAATAGTTCATCTCTTCTTAAAAATCATGAAAAGGATTGTGTTTAGGAAAACAAAATCTTGATAATTAAACCATTTACTACAGAGTTGAAACCTTAACAAATTCCACTTCTTAGCTAAACATCTCCATTTTCTCAAATGTTGGCTTGATAAGGGTAATAAGGCATAATAAAAATTAAAGATAAATATCAAAGTTACTAGAAACGGTAATTCTAACAGTGGAAATTATTACGATATAAGATAGATACAGAGGTGTGAACGTTTTGATGGTTTATTAATTATCTTATCGATCTTCAGCAGTTACCATATGGTCAAAAAAATTTCCATATCACTCTTGACGTTTTACTATTAGTGGGTAGGGCCAGAAAAACCATTTTTGAAGTTATTACTTCTTCATATTCAGTTGATTATGGTATATGGCTGTTGGATTATTGTTTCCAGTCACTTCAGATTTCTAAAAATATGTAAAAACAATTAAAATTGGTCAGTCAGTTATACTAAGCG